TTTTTCGATACACAATCGATTGTTTGCGATACACGGGTACCCGGCCATCCGATGACAACAACATTATCAATAACAAAGGAGATAGGAATTACCACGTATTCCACACCGCCATTTTAGATCGAAAATGTATCGAAAAAGCGTCTCGAACTCTGCGCACACCGGGCTCGGAATTCGTCGAGCAGAACATGGCGCCAGCTCTCCCATTTTCATGATTCTATGTACTCTATGGGAAAATTGGCTGGCGCTCAGTGCGCCGACATTTTGATTTTCTCAAATTTGAGAAAACCCACGATAAGTTTTTTTGGAAATATTTCCAAATAACGTCTATTTTGCCTTATAATCTCCGTTTCTATTTTTTACCAGTTTTATACAAATTTCAAAAATCACGAGATTCAAAATTTTAATATAGTTAAAAGTAGTAATAACGCTTAAAAGCAGCATGTTTGCGGAATGATATGTTTCAGAATGAATTGAGAATCATTTTTGCAGAAGGCAAAAAGGAGAGGTTTTCTCCTCAATTATTGATAAAAAAGTTTTGTTCAAATACACTTTCATGGTTCCACGTAGGTGCTTCTGTAAGCAATTTTACATACCTATTTCATAGAACTTCCCGATAAACAATATTTTTTGTTTTTCCTGTCGGTTGGAGTATTGACAGCCCTACAGGTGTTTTTGCCCTTGAGCACGCAACGTATAATTGCCCATGAGAAAAGCAATCATCCCTTAAATCAATGCCGGCATATGTTAATGACTGACCTTGAGACTTATTAATTGAAATTGCAAAAGCTAATCTGATCGGAAATTGAATTCGTTTAAATTGAAATGGATAGTCATTCGGAATCATAGGTATTTTAGGGATGAATGTTGTCTGACCCTTACCATCACCCGTTAAAATTTTTGCCTCTATTGTATTTTTGCGAAGAGCTATTATTTGGAGCCGTGTACCATTACATAATATAGGGGGCAGCAAATTTCTTAACATTATAATTGGAGATTTTTCTTTAAGTGTTAATATATGCGGTGGAGTTCCTGACGGTGTTAAGGAATTTAAGAATTCTGCTGGGTAATGCAGTGCATCTTCTGTTTCTACAGTGCTGTCAACAGAAACATATGTGACGGTTCTCTCATGAAAACGGAGCATTATTTTATCGTTAATTTCCATACCTCTATCATTTGTTGGTGATAATATAGCACGCTCTTCAAACCATTCTGTCTCTTTTATATGGATATTTTCGATATCTGGGTAGATATTATTAATTAAATCTGTCAATTCAGTAACATGATTGCATGGAATTTCCTTAATATTTATTTTTCCATCAATTTCTTCAAGAAGACCATTGCCTATTTTTAAGAGTACATTTGCAAATTCTAAATTGGCAGCATTTTTTGAAACATCCACTCTCATATTTTGGTGGAGTTTAAAAACTTTAATGTCATTCCATAAATATGATGATTTTATACAGGCATCAATTTCATTAGCTCTCGTTCCTCTAGGTATGACGGGCAATGTTTGTCTAAAATCTCCAGATAGTAATGTTGTTACTCCACCCATTCTGCGCTTATCATTACGAATGTCTTGAAGTGTACGATCAAGAGCTTCAACACCAGCCCTATGTGCCATTGTAATTTCATCCCAGACGATGAATGAAGTTGTTTTAAGTAGTTCTGCTATTTTACTCTGTTTGCTTATGTTGCAAAAGTGGATATCAGCTGAATTTAAATTTAATGGCAGTTTAAAAGCACTGTGAGCAGTTCTTCCGTGCAATAATAATGTTGCTGCAATACCAGATGATGCAACTGAAATGACTGTTTGTCCTTCAAAAATCAATTTAGCTAACAAATAGTTTATGGTGAAGGTTTTTCCAGTACCTCCATATGCATCTAGGAAGGCAAACCCACCTTCATTTGAATTAATACTGTTTATAATATAATCACAAAGTTCAATTTGCTCCTTATTCCTTGATGATTCTGTTGCTAAAATTGAGTCTAAACGTTTTGAATTATTGCCTGATGCTGTTTTTGCAAGAAAACTATGATCAAAGTAATTTTGACTGTATGTAGGGCTGCACATATTGTAATGATTTAGTCGATTATTAGATATTCTAATTACTGTTTCCTCCAATAGTATTAAAGTTTCATTCTCAATTTTCTGTTTAATCTCATCATCAATAATGGTGTTTTTATTCGTTAATTTTCTTTGGACATCCTCGCTAAAACTGTCCTTGTATTTGTTCCATAAATGCATGGGGTTTGACAACTGGCAAAAAACTATCATAACTGCGAACAGGTCACGCAACTTTTTCGGAGAATCCCCAATGACAGCTTCCTCCAATGTTGCATCCCAATTTTCATCATTTTCTAATAATCCGTGGGCAAAGCATGCAGATTGAAAAGATGGATGAACCACTCCACCAACTGTCCTAAGGAATTCAAATGACAAGGGGCCTCTAACATGATGCAATAGAAGTCTAAGAAAATAGCATTCATAATTATTGGGATGGACAGTATAAACTCGTCCTAGTACATATTGTTTTTTAATCTCTGGATGATTTTCAACCGTTTCTCCCCGTTGCCTTCTGTTGAATTTTCCTTTTGCCCATGTATAGTATTGTGGGACCTCATTATACAACAAGTTTCTTGCGAAAGAATCAACCTGGCACAGCTTGAAGAATCCTATTAATGTGGTTTGCGGTGGATTTGCTACTATTTCAGACATATTTTTTGGCGTAAAATAAACCCTTTGTTCATTTTCTCCATGAACACTCAGATGCATCACTGGTGGGTACCTATTGTGAATTTTGAAAGTCAATATACGCCAAACAGCCTCTGATGAACTTATGAATCGACCACTTTGGAATTGCTGTATTTCATCATTTTTATTTTCAATAACACAGGTTGCCTCATCAGATTTTTTATGAACATATTTACAAATATATTTTATTGATTTTACTGAATTGCAAATTTCAACATTTACGTGTGCTTTTGAAGTTTTTAATAGCACTGGGTTGTATGGTACAACCCAGCTGTTGTCAATTTTAAAATGTTTAATAACAGTAGTAAATCCACCATTATCAGGAGAAAGCCTTTTATACGTAGGATAGCTGTCTTCTCCCGCTCTTGTTTCGTCCAAAAAATTTCGAGGATAGTTTTTACTGCATATGCCGTTATTCATACATGGGGAATTTTCGTTTAAACTTCCACAAGGTCCATGTATCATGTGGGATTTTACAAGTTCATGGAGTTCAGGATCAGTAGATGGGTTAGGAATTTGAGCACTAATTATGCTATCAATTTGATGAGCCTTGATTTTATCTTTCAACCAACATAGTATGTGTGTGTGTGGCAACCCTCTTCGCTGCCACTCTATACGACTTACGAAACATTTTACGGGACCAAATATTTCATTTTTTCTCAATAAATCTATCATTTTTTTGACTTTCAAATTAAACACTCTCGCTAATATATCATGTCTGTCTTGCGGTTTTTGTCCTGATTTCAAACATTCTTGAATTTCCTCCCATTTTGGATTGCAGGTGAAAGTTATGAATAAATCAGGTCTACCTTCAGCTCTTACATAAACCATAGTATCTTGCGCTTCCTCGAATAAATATCGCGGGCTACCAGTGTGGGAGGATGGTAAAATAAATTTTTGTCCTATATTTGATGGATTTGCATCATTATCATTTACTGCGTCTTTTAAATGTATATAGTTTTCAACTCTAAGTTTGGGCTGATTAAATCTTAAATAATTTAAACGCTCAGTTTCAATTTTAGCGAACATATCAACTAAATATTGGTTAAATAAATTTCTGTACATTAACAGGTAGTTGGATTTTTTATTACGCTCCATAATTCTGAAGGCATAATAATTACAGGATGACACTTTTTTTGAAACATGTTTTTCATTAATTGGATCGTATAATTCCAAATTTATTGAGTAGCCTTCATCTCCAAAAGGAAACATAAGGGGGTATTGTAAAGGGTCGTAAGAACGATGAAGCTCACAAATGCGTTTTATTTCATTTGATTTCTTGTGAATTATAATATCTCTATGCTGAACAATGTCTCCAGTCATAAGTACGGAAATTTCCTTTAATGTAGGTACCGGAGATATTGAAGTAGGTGATTTTTTTTCAGATTTGATCATTATTTTAAAATCATCTTCCTTATGGTGCATTTCCAGAGCAGTTTTAAAATCGCGGATATACCTATTATTACGGTGAAGTAATGTCTGTAATTTATTTATCATACTTAAATTTAGATCTGAAAAAATGTTAAGTCTAATTTTTGCTTCATTTTTACTATCCTCGACAAAAAAAATTTGTAGAAATGCAGGATTTTTCTCTGAAGAAGATAATAAGCTTCCAATATTATGATAAATTTGCCCTTGAACTTTAAATGTGGGCATGTAGTTTTCTTTAATTATTTTTGCGCCAAAGGATGTCATGGCAAAACAACTATTATATTGGCGAATTGCCGACAAAAAATGTGCTGAATTAGGATGAGTCCCATTTAGTAAATCCATTATTAATTTAGGAGGTTGTGTAAGATTTGCCAACTTAACTTTACCATTAGCACAACACATATATTTACTTTCCCCTGCCCATAATTTGGCATCACAAAATTTACATATATTACTCTGCTTTCCAATACTAACAATTTTGTCGCTCGAATAATCAATGCTGGCTGAGTAAGAAAATCCTGAATTCTTCTTTATTTCCCACTGCAATTTCTTCTTGATCTCATTTACAGTGTGAACCAAGTACATATTAGATT